TTCCTCTACGTCGTTGTTATGCACATCTTACAGTCGGGTCTTCTACTGGTTTCGCCTCCAAAGAAGGGGACACTTCCGGGAGTGTGGAGCACGCTGTTTCCGAGACCTCTCAACCTCTTCACTCCATGACAATCCTAATGGTATCACCGGCACACCAGGCACATCTTGCCCCACAGCTTCCTCCTCAACATTCGTGCTTTGTTGTACAACCCTGGCGCCTCGTCGTCGTTCACACTGTACCGCCATATGATCATATGCGCCGCACAGCCTGCAAGTGCGGCGTTGCCCTGCATATGACCACCATTACCTGAGCTCTGAAGTCTTGCAAGATCACGTAAGAAGGTATTGGGGTGCCGTAATGTCATCTTCACTGAAAATGTACCTTCTGGTATTCCTGCATATGGTCTGTCAGACCACCCCCTGCTGTAGCCATGTGTCTGGTGCCATAATTACCCAGTGCAGCTCTAATGTCAGACACTCAGCCTCAAAGGGAACATTTCTGACCTTTACCCATGTGTATAGCGGGAGACGTCATGTAGCTTGACTGACACTGCGGGGTTAACCACTAGCTTAACCTCCTGGAACTTGTCGACACCTCGTAAACACGAGCCGAGTAGAATTTCACAAAGATCCATTTCACAAAGATCCGTGATACGCCATTTTGCCACACTGCACAAGTCTTCGTTGGCAATACCATAGGTATCGCGTATTATCGCAGGCAATAGTAGCGCCGTTGATGGTCCAAGCACGACCCCACGTGTCAATTCAATACACACAGCATTTACGCGGCGCCGGGTCGCCATGTTGTGAAAATGAAAACTGCCACCAGTCAACTATAGGGGCAGCAGGGAGCACACGACCTCTCTATTCAAAGGCTGAGAGACGACTGTCTGCTGGGTTTAAGGAAACATGAAACATCTCACACGTGCCTAGGAGGGTTCACCAGTCCTCCAGTGTGAGAGCTGAGGACACTACCAACACCAAGCTTAAGATTTAACCACAATATGAAAATTAAGTATGTCTTGTGCACCAAAACTGGAGGAAATCGGATGGTAAACAAACAAGCAAATATTCATTCCCAACCGTCTCCTTAAGATTTAACCACAATATGAAAATTAAGTATTTAACACTAAAAGTGCTCTAAAAACTTGTAATTATTCTCTACTAAACTGAATAACCAAGTATATTTCTTGTACTATAAACAATAATTATAGCTTAGTCTGGCTTAGCAAAAGTTTTTATGTAAACATCTTTAAATATACAAAAAAAATATAATTTTTATTGAATAATTTTAAATAATAATTAAAAAGTATTTTAATGCCATAAGAGAAAATATATTTATTTTTATTGTTTTTGTATTATATACAGTTCTAATGTCTAAACCAAGACGACATTAAATATATTACTTGGGTAACCCACTCCTATATTATTTTTTTTCTGGGTTGTCTTCAATATCTGAGGATACGTATACTATACACTAAGTTGTTTGCTTAACAGCCTCTTGACTACACGACAGTCAATAATAATGTATTTGACCTCAACGCAATCAGTCAAAAATTTCTAAAATATGGAATACATTATCAGTGTTGTAAACTGTGGGACCCATCATAGCCTCGGAGAAGTGGATAAAAAGGCTTCAAGGAAGAATATTTGGATTTCTTCCTGAAGCTGTTTGAATGTCCCACTTCCCCTACCACCCCATCTTTTCATTATTTTTTACAATGTGCCTATATATCGATAAACTCACACATGTGTATTGATACCGATTCTCTCGGCATATATGCACAAGAGAAATACATTATAAATATATATATATATATATACGTATATATATATATATATATATATATATATATATATATATATATATATATATATATATATATATGTACGCAAAGAATTCGCGAGAGCATGCGAAATATACACAAACATGATCTCTGGCTGAAGGAGACTCGAACCTAAAGAACCTTAGGACAAGGTACGCAGTGCTTTACCAATCTACCCACACTGGACAATACCTTGGCGTGTAGCATGCGCTACACGTTTGATCCAAGGCAGCCAGCTGCATGCTACACACCAAGGTATTGTCCAGTGTGGGTAGATTGGTAAAGCACTGCGTACCTTGTCCTAAGGTTCGTAGGTTCGAGTCTCCTTCAGCCAGAGATCAGTGTTTGTGTATATTTCGCATGCTCTCGCGAATTCCTAGCATTCTTCAAATCTCTAGTAAGGCTGATGCATGCAGGGGATGAGATGAAAAGCTGTAAGCCTTCTCCCTGAAAGCTGGCTGCCTTGGATCAAACGTGTAGCGCATGCTACACACCAAGGTATTGTCCAGTGTGGGTAGATTGGTAAAGCACTGCATACCTTTTCCTAAGGTTCGTAGGTTCGAGTCTCCTTCAGCCAGAGATCAGTGTTTGTGTATATTTCGCATGCTCTCGCGAATTCCTTGCGTTCTTCAAATCTCTAGTTAGGCTGATGCATGCAGGGGATGAGATGAAAAGCTGTAAGCCTTCTCCCTGAAAGCTGGCTGCCTTGGATCAAACGTGTAGCGCATGCTACACACCAAGGTATTGTCCAGTGTGGGTAGATTGGTAAAGCACTGCATACCTTTTCCTAAGGTTCGTAGGTTCGAGTCTCCTTCAGCCAGAGATCAGTGTTTGTGTATATTTCTCTTATGGCATTAAAATACTTTTTAATTATTATTTAAAATTATTCAATAAAAATTATATTTTTTTTGTATATTTAAAGATGTTTACATAAAAACTTTTGCTAAGCCAGACTAAGCTATAATTATTGTTTATAGTACAAGAAATATACTTGGTTATTCAGTTTAGTAGAGAATAATTACAAGTTTTTAGAGCACTTTTAGTGTTAAATACTTAATTTTCATATTGTGGTTAAATCTTAAGGAGACGGTTGGGGAATGAATATTTGCTTGTTTGTTTACCATCCGATTTCCTCCAGTTTTGGTGCACAAGACATACTTAATTTTCATATTGTGGTTAAATCTTAAGCTTGGTGTTGGTAGTGTCCTCAGCTCTCACACTGGAGGACTGGTGAACCCTCCTAGGCACGTGTGAGATGTTCATGTTTCCTTAAACCCAGCAGACAGTCGTCTCTCAGCCTTTGAATAGAGAGGTCGTGTGCTGCTGCTGCCCCCTATAGTTGACTGGTGGCAGTTTTCATTTTCACAACATGGCGACCCGGCGCCGCGTAAATGCTGTGTGTATTGAATTGACACGTGGGGTCGTGCTTGGACCATCAACGGCGCTACTATTGCCTGCGATAATACGCGATACCTATGGTATTGCCAACGAAGACTTGTGCAGTGTGGCAAAATGGCGTATCACGGATCTTTGTGAAATGGATCTTTGTGAAATTCTACTCGGCTCGTGTTTACGAGGTGGTCGACAAGTTCCAGGAGGTTAAGCTAGTGGTTAACCCCGCAGTGTCAGTCAAGCTACATGACGTCTCCCGCTATTACACATGGGTAAAGGTCAGAAATGTTCCCTTTGAGGCTGATGTGTCTGACATTAGAGCTGCACTGGGTAATTATGGCACCAGACACATGGCTACAGCAGGGAGGTGGTCTGACAGACCATATGCAGGAATACCAGAAGGTACATTTTCAGTGAAGATGACATTACGGCACCCAATACCTTCTTACGTGATCTTGCAAGACTTCAGAGCTCAGGTAATGGTGTCATATGCAGGGCAACGCCGCACTTGCAGGCTGTGCGGCGCATATGATCATATGGCGGTACAGTGTGAACGACGACGAGGCGCCAGGGTTGTACAACAAAGCACGAATGTTGAGGAGGAAGCTGTGGGGCAAGATGTGCCTGGTGTGCCGGTGATACCATTAGGATTGTCATGGAGTGAAGAGGTTGAGAGGTCTCCGGAAACAGCGTGCTCCACACTCCCGGAAGTGTCCCCTTCTTTGGAGGCGAAACCAGTAGAAGACCCGACTGTAAGATGTGCATAACAACGACGTAGAGGAATCCATTGCCTCCGTGCTGAATGAATTATTTACAGAGAGAAGCATGAGTCCTGCAACGGACCCTTCCCTAAACCTGGGACCTGCTGCGCAGGTGGACGCTGGACACAGAGCAGCTGGTTGTGGGCGTCCCTGATGCCATGTTGAAACAAATGGTGGAGGTGGAAATCCACCAGGACTGCTCAGCAGATGAAGACATGCAGGTGGAAAGTGTTTCGCGAAAGCGCTCTGTAGCACTTTCAGACTCGGAGGAAGTGCTGACGCCAGCCCAGCAATCCGGGAAAAAAAACCTGGGCGGATGTGGCACAGAGAGGGCCCAGTGGACCTAAAGCTCAGGGGCTGGTCAAGAGTGCTTCAAAAGGTGGGGGGGGGGTTGAAAAAGGTGGGAACAAAAGAATCGGTGAGAAATATTTAGTATCGAAAGGAAAAAATCACACTGACCAATTTAAGTGCCTGACAATAAATATTAATGGATTTGAGGAGTGCGCGAAAGCGTGTATGGTTCCGAGAATTCTTAGTGCATAATAATGTTGACGTTGTGTTCGTACAGGAACACAATCATAAATTAGGAAGTGAGTTGCGGATAGATGGGTATGATGAGTATGTGGAGAATGCTATACGGTTGAAAGGTGGTGTTGCCATCATGATCAGGGAGACTAGCCCGTTTGTTGTGAGGCATTGCGAGGGTGGGGAGGGGAGGGTAATAAGGGTGGAAGGTCCTTGGGGCAGGGTGAAGGCTGCCCTCGTGTGGCAATAAAACTTGCGCAGAACTAGGCGTTATCGTTCCTTTAAATAGCTCAATGCCTACAGTATTTATTCGGCGTCTCAGACTAACCGCCATCTTGACAATCACAGTGCACCTATGTTGTTAACAGAGGCGTGACAGCACCACTTCACACCGCTGCAGCCAGGTAACTGACAAGGTAGCTCGCCTACAAACAGCAGAGGGGTGCAGAGCACAACTGCACTCTACCGTGGTCAGGCAGCGAATCATGGCCAAAGGATCTATGGAAAATTTTATTGGGGGTTACCTGTATGTACCTCAACATTACATGCAAGCGATGATGAATTACAATTGGAAATGTTTAATACTGAAGATAGGGTAAGGCAGCTAAAACTAAATCATGTTTACAAAGTTGCTCACAGTCACTCTCCAGAATGTCTTGCTGCTAATTTTGTCAAAGCTTGGAGCCAAAGCCAGTATTGTACTAGGCTAAGTGAACGCAATTTTGTAGTTACAATAGGTGGCCAGGCCTCAAACAACCACTGCACAGTAATAGATGAATGGAACAGGCTGCTTGATCTTATCAATTCTAGTCTCAGCATAAGTCAGTTTTGGAAAAGGACTAGAAGATACCTAACAGGTGAAGCCACAGAAGAGAAAGAATGTGGTTTCTTGCACAATTCATGTTCATGTAATTGTTATATTCAACAGATTTTTTAATTTTGGTGGTCATATAATTCTTTTTCACGTAACTTATTTACTCATACTATTTGGATTTGATTACTCAAGTGTATTTTGTTTTTATTGTTAACTTACGTCTTAGCTTTTCATTTTTGCCTTCCTCATCCTACACTTTTGCCTTTTGTCTCAGTGACTGCGAAAAAGCAGAAGACGACGCCAGCGACGCTGATGGCTCCATAGAACCAATAAAGGCCAGCTTGGGTAAAGGCTGCTTGCATGGGCGTGTAGAGCTGCAGTGTGATGAAGGTGATGGCCGTCCCTGCTGAGATGCACACCGACGACGCCTGCGGCAGGAGGAAGACCCGTCATTAAAGGTTTAGTATTAAATTGGTTTGAGATTTATACGAGGGAAAGGGATGATAGTACTTTAGTATGGGCTAATATGCCTACTGGTTTTTCTCATTTTCTTTGACGTTATGCTTGAAAATAGCTCAGTGGTAGAGGGTTGGGCTCAACCAGGAACCAAATTCTGTCACGGGCGGGGTAAAGGAGGGAAGTAAGACGTACGGTGTCTCTCCTAGTACCAGTCGTCTCTGTTCACATAGTGAATAGATACCTGGGGTTAGTTAGGTACTGTGTTTTTTTTTTTTGATAAGTAAGACATGTGCAATAGTTAGGTAGTCTTCATAGGTGATGGACGGATTACACCGTCTTCACATTTCTACTGCTTCTGCTAGTTTCTGTACTCGAAACTTTTCGAGTACAGCTTGTCTGTATTGTATACCATGATCATATTTACTTTTTTTTTATGTATCTTAGAATAGAGCATAAGAACATACTCAAATGGAAGCCACACTGCTCTAACTTCTCGAGTTGTCTCGTTATTAAGCCCCCGGGATCAAAAATCAATATTAGGTCATCTTGGGTGTGATCAATAGGTTATTCGCAGGCGTACTGATAAGATAAGATTGCGTTCGGATTTTTAACCCGAAAGATTAGTCACCCAGGATAAACCAAGAAAGTCAGTGCGTCATCGAGGACTGTCTTACTTATTTCCATTGGGGTCCAGGTGTAAGGAAACGTGTCGAAATGTTCCCACCAGCCGGGAATCGAACCGGGCCCTCCGTGTGTGAAGCGGGAGCTTCAGCCACCAGGCCACCGGGCCTATAATGGCATTAGCCAGCGCTAAGGTGTGAGGATATGTATGGGACGGTGGTTATTATGGAAACAAAATCTGGGTCTAAGTTGGTGCCATGGGCTAATTTCTGTAAAAATATCATAGTCAGCACTGGATGCAAGGTAAGTTAGCATGCATCTGGGTGTAGATGTTGACAGTGAATTATGCATGTTCTGATTAGTGAGTGTGGTTTCCCATTCTCAATAACAGGAGAAAGATTACCTGGATCCTAATGGCAGTCTGATGGAAAAAATTTATTACCCTCATGCTTGGACAAGTATTGCTGACAGCAGTTTCAAAGTTGAGTGTCCTGAAAAATAGTCTGAAATAGGTCCCTCCGTGGAAGACTGGCAAATTCTGAATAGTGGACTGAGTAACTGAGTGTTTGTTGGTCTGAATGTCAAGTGTTACCAAGGATCCAACTAAAAACAAGTTTGTGCTTGCCAGAAATACATCAAAACTGTAACTGGGATGTAATATGGGAAGACATATTTCTGGGTTGCTGGTAAATTATGGAAACCATTTCTTGCCCTGCCTGATATACAACACCAGGATGATGTACAACACCAGGATAATACCTCCAGTATTGGCTAATGAAGGTTCAGTGAAACCATTTATTCAGTAAAAAGCGCTAACTGTGCAATCATCTTTCAGCTAATAATTACAGTGGGTGAACAAGAAAGAACGCCAAGAGTCATACACCTCAATTGTCACTCTTGGACCTATCTATAGGTAGTCCTAACAGATGGCCACCAGATGTCTAATCAGAGGGTCACATCGCAAACCTTAAGGTGATCTACTTTCCAACACAGTTTACTAACCGAAAAAAAAAGTGATTCCCTTATCTTTATATACTCTAAGATCTGTACAGTATATCGCAAATGGAAAATATTCATGTTAAGAGATAATACAGAGGGATGGTTGAGGGTATCTGGATACAATCAGACGGAAGAAATGAATCTAATTCCTGGGATCCAGAACCCCTCACCGCGGCAGCGTATTCTCACTTAAGGCTAGTGCACGTGTGAGGGAAATGGGCGAAGATCGCCGAAAGCTTATTATGTGGGATTTTTTTTTTTTTTTTCTTTAGAAAACTTATGGTAATACGTAGAATTTTGATGAAAGATGTAGTGGTGATAGGTAGGCGAGTGTTAGTTGTGGTGGAAGTTTTCGAGTACTAGTTGTGGTGGTGTTGAGGGATTAGAGAGGAATAAGTTATGTAGGTGTGGTGGGTAAGTGTCAGTCTAGGTATTTTATTTTTTAATAAATTCAGACAGGGTGCCTTTCTCTCCACGGCAGTTACATCGCGGGGACAAGAGATATCTATCCTTCCTTGTCATAAACCGTGTCATAGGATGGGTTTTATACTCAAGGTAGGAAATTTGAATTTAGTAGCTAGTAGAATTTCAAAACATTATGTTCCAGTAGAAGAGGAATTACTGTTACATGGGATTTACCATATCATAGGAGAGTGAATCTCTAGAATTGTGGTTCTAACATTAAACGCTTTTCCTCTTGTAAATTATAGCTGTTGCATTTGTAAATTACTGTTTAGAAGAGAAGGTAATGAACAGTTTTTAATACAATGCTTAATTTACTAAACAATGATATGTAATAATTTTCTGAATTTTAAATATATAGAATATGACTGGGAGGTTCATGTTTATTTCAGGCTCGAATAAGAAAACGCAGTTAGACTTTTCAGCCAGTAACTATTTTCTCCAATTGTTTGTTTTTCAAACTGGGAATTTACCTGGGAACGGATGCTGGTGGTGAAGTATTCTGATGCCACGATATAAGGAATGGGATGAACGCCGATGTCGCAGATGAAGAGCGCCATCGTCACGCACACAGTTGGCAACCACGTCATGCTGCAACAAAGAAAATAACGTCTCATTCCTATCACTTTCATCTTGTTAAAGTATAGACGAGAAACGCATTTTTTTCTCGAGTGAACGAAATTGTTATGGAGTTTTAAATTATATTAAATCCCCAAGTACATCAACATATTCCATTTTTAAGAAATATTTATTAATTTTTACATGAACTACAGCTGTTTTAGATTGATAGATTTATCAAATTGCTTATTCACAAAACAAGATTGTTCACGCACATGAAAGATCAGGGATAGAAAGATGAAAAATATTTCTTCTATTTGATTCCCTCTCCTTACATTTCAGGGGAAAATAGCCACTTACTCTGTGTAAGTGGTGTCGTCTGGATCGGCATTATCAGCCAGGTGGGCATATGCACCCAGGACGATGAGGCAAACAGCGTTGACTGCATGTGTTATAACGAGCAGGTATCGCCGTCCAATGACGTCTAGCAGCAGGATGGCAGCCAGTGTGCCAGCCACCCTTAGGGCTCCAGCGATGGCAGTAATGGCATCGGGATCCATGGGCGCCCCGGTTGCTTCAAGGATCCGCGCTGTGTACACCATTAAGACAAAGTTTCCACACATCTGCATGAGGAAGAAGAGAACTACAACTACAATTATTTGTCGCAACACTTCCTTTTTCAACAGGTCACGCCAGCCAACGCTCTTGCCATCGGTGTTGACGGCGTTGCGACGTTCCAACTCTGCAACCTCACCTTCGACATCAGCGTAGGTTCCCCTCAAAAGTTTCAAGATAGCGGTAGCTTGCTGGCGTCGACCATTCACTATTAGGAAAGACGGAGACGGTGGAAGGATGAATGTTGTAAGAAAGAATAAGAAGGAAGGCACCGCGCAGAGAAAACTGAGAGTGTACCAACTGAGAGCGTACCCTAGTACAGCAGTATAGAGGCCACCCAACACCACACCCATGGTCGGAAGAGTAGCTGCCATGCCCCGGATGCTCACGTCAGACAACTCAATCACGTAATTGTAGCCAGCGATGGTGGTTCCACCACAGGCTACACCTATGATGAATCTGCAGGAGGAAAACAATGGGGTGAGAAACTCTTCAAGCATCAAAATTAGCAACTCATTGTAATTTTCTTATTTTCTTTGTTGGAAGAACTATTTTTATGATATTGAATAAACTATAAACTCTACCTTTGTTAGTAAAACTGGTTAGTAGAAAGACAACACCGAGGTTATGCCCTACTAGGTGTTATTATCTTACAACCTTCCTCACTTACACGTTATCTTTCTTCCTCACATTCAATCAGTTACAAGTTATCTTTCTCACAATCTGTCAATTACAAGTTATCTTTCACTTCCATTATGTTAGTTAAACGTTATCTTTGTCAGTTACACCTTATCTTTGCCAGTTACACGTTATCTTTCTCCCTTACATTCCATTAGTTGTCTTTTCTGCTTCACATTTGGCCAGTTGCTAGTTTTCTATCTGTCTCATGAAAAATTCTACAATCTTGGTCTGCTTCTGTTGCTTAGCCTCTGCGGGTACCTGCCAATGAGTAGAACAGGTGTGGTAGGGGCGAGTGCGACAATTAGCCAGCCACCCACGTACGGTACCACGATCACCTGCATGGAGCGGAGACGCCCTATCTTAGCCACCATCCACCCAGAGATCCACGCTCCCACCAGCGTCCCCAAGTACAGTAAGCTACCTACAGGAAGAACATCGAATTTTATTAGTGTAGTTTTATTTTGTGTTGGGGATGTTATAATGTAGTTATGATGTTCACGTGACTGTAAATCTACGTGTGTCATTCCTCGCAAGAACATCAAAGATGCTCGGGTCATCATTCTTCTAATCACGGCCGAGTTCTGCTGCCCCAGCCCATATAGTTTTAAAAATCGGTACTTGTATGTTAACCTACAGTTATGTGTCGCATCAATAGTCCTGTTGAGGTTATATCATGGGCAAACTGCCAATGTGTTAAAATCTCAGGTGGAAAGTTAGATGAACCTGGAATTTTATGGAGAATAATTGTTTTTAGCCGATATAGCCTATGTATTCGTCTTGCATTTTGCTTTATCGTGTAGGTTAGTTATTGTCACTGACCAGAGTTCATTGCAATTTTGTGCTCAGTTCATCTTCATTACAAATAATAACGTACCAATTTGCCATATTTTCAAAATGAAGAAAAGATAAAAGTTGCTGAGCAAGCAAGAGTTTTATTTAGTCACTGATCTGAAGAAAACAGAGCGAAATGTCAGAATAAAAGTTTGTTCTGTGCCTTTATTCAGCGTTATATATGTGTGTTTTTACATTTTTATCATTCCTTCAATTCTGATGTTCATGGTATGTTAGTGCTTCTGAAGTCTGACTCACCTGTCATGTCCTTCTCGGCAGAGTTTAAGGTGATCTGAGTGCCGAAGAGGGTGCCATTATTCTGGGCCAGGTCAGAGAGTGCCGGAGAGGGCCAAGGCAGCGCCGCTCCCAGCGAGAAGTATGAGAATGTCACCACAGATACCAGGCCAAGCTATGAGGAAGAGTCATGGAGTGAGGGAGAGTCGAGGAGTGAGGAAGAGCTAAGGAATGAGAGCTGAGGAATGGGGGGTACTAGTGAGATTATTATAATCAAAGAAAGCGCTAAACCGACAAGGGCCATACACCAGGTGCCAGTGAGAGCATCGTGCATTTGTTTATATCTCGGTTCTCTGTATAGATGGCGTTACCTTTCTCAGCTCAAATGTAATCATCTTCCGCCTATCGTTAAGATTATCATTCCCTGTAGTGTTGTGCTGTACGATTAACGATTCTATTAGCAATATTTTCAGAGCCTTATTCAGGTGATATGGGATGAGGATTTTAAGAGATATGTAGTGCCGAAATGCAGAGTATTATTATATTCATGGGAAACCGTTAAACGCGTACGGGTCCTACGGCGCCTGGGGAATGGGAGGTAATCAGGTTTGATCCGAGAAAATTCCTAGTGTTTGTTGTAGTTTATGTCTATCATCAATTTAAGTTTTTTTATATTAAATGTTCATATAAGTTTTTAATAGGGGATGATTACATCTCCCCCTACGACCCCAAGTCCTTAATTTTTAAAACCACTTTGTGGTCGGAGAGAATGGAGGGCAGGTAGAGAGCATTTTGCTATACAATGCTTGCCTCAAGTAGCCGAACTGGGGTTAGTCCCTCTCAGCCTTAGTGTGGTCATTAAGGCCTTCTGTTATCTACATATAACTTAAACAGTAGTGCAGTAGCAATTATTGCTGCCTTACACTTTACCTCATTTATGCTTGAGACTTGCTAGTTAGCAGTGTTGTCTGCTATGTATCCATGTTCATAGCTTACCTGTCGAGCCAGCCTCTTTACACGCTCTACTCTCGGCTCTGCTCTCTCACACATCTTGCCAGCGACGCCAGCTGCGTCTGTAGCACAGGAGAGAAATTTAGTTTAATTAGGAGAATAATGGCATTATTTTTCTGTAATACTTATTCCGCTTCCAAGAGACAGGATGTATCAGGCAAGAAAACATTTAGCATCGCTTACTCCTAAATTACTCAGCTTCATTCCTGAATCTCTCAATAGCAGTGTGGCATCTACAAGCAGCAACTGTGACAACCCCACTTTGATTAATTATCTGCTACTAACACACTTCTACAAGATACAGTAACATTTATTTCTCTTGCAACGTCTGTTAACATGGGCGGTTATGTTGACGGCAAACATTTATGTTTAAATTTTCTTATTTACTATAAAGCCTATTCTTTGCCTCGCTCTCCTAGCAAAAACGCGTTAATGTTTTTAACTTATTACTTATTCCATGTATTTATACCATCCATATCCCTTCTTCATCTATCTTGTCTTATGCAGTTTGAAAATCCATAAATGCAACATTCTTCTTCACTGTTGATTCATACATCTCCTTACCTTTCTGAATTCACTCTCTTCTAGTACAGGTACATTTTGTGTCTTTCCAGTCACTACCAGTCAATGCTCTCATACATTTGCAGGGTGTTCATTGCTTTTGTTATTCTTTTTCCCCTCCGTATTGACATATAATTCTTTCACTATTGTTTTCCTTTCATGCAAAGGAACTTTATTTACTTTGTGCCAGTCATTCGGTATTTTTCCCTTCATTCATACAAAGTAAATATGCCAGTCATTATCACTATGTCCTGATTTCACTATCTGAATTGTGATTCATCAATGATCCACGGATTTAGCTTTTCATGAGATTTAGTAGAATAATAAAACCCAACTGTTCGAGAAAGGATGTGAATTCCACTTTTAAGAGATTTTGCAGAGGAAGCTTTTATTGAGAATGTGTCGATCTGTTTAGATCTAGAAAAATAATAATGAGAATAAATTTATTTCTTTTCTGCAGTATACAGGTAATAACGTTTTGTTTGGCACGACAAAAAGCCACTAGAATGTGGCCGCTGACTGAGTCTGACAGTACATTGTCCTTAAACCATTCCACGGGTGAGGATAGAACCCGCGATCAGTCATAAAACTCCAGACCGACAAGCTAGCCAACTGGCTAGCCAGCTGGCCCAGTGGCTAGCTCGTCGGTGCGTATGCTAACCTTCCTATGGTGTAAAAATATACCTAGTTGGACGAATCGTGTTGTAGCCAGCTGGCCCAGTGGCTAGCTCGTTGGTCTGGAGTTTTATGATTCTCTGATCGCGGGTTCTATCCCCACCCGTGGTATGGTTTGTTTGCAGTCGTGTCATGACGATTTCGTGAGTCATTATCCTCAACTTTAAAATCTTATATTTTTATAACTCTCCCCCCTCTGTATCGCTACCAACTACAGTAAGTCTACACTCAACGAACACAAACACACCTTACTTCTAACACTAACCATCCATTATATACAAATCCCTTCTTACCCTATATAGACTTTGCCAAGTCCCCTAATCCTTAGCCACCATTTTCCACTATGCATGTCAATTTTACAAGGATACATGGGGAATCGGGCAGAGCTTATAACGATGATTTCCCACTTTCCCCCCGTTATGTTATTGTTGACATTAACCCAAATAACGCAACAGTATGACCTTTTGCCTCTAGCTATTTTTTTTGCAATGATATTCGACTTCCTCGAATTTCCATTCATGCCCCACTTCACTATACCACAGACCGTGTCTATTTATTAGACAAGTGGTACGTTGGCTGTTCTTTATGTCTTTCCTTTTTCCACTTATCTTTAACTGACTCTCGAGTTTTATTTACTCCCAACCCAACCTATGCCACTCCTTTTATTGGGCGATTTCAACTTATCATTTTGTCTGAGAAGTGTCGCATTGTGACTTTCGAAAATCCCATTAATATTCTTTAATACCTACTTCATCAAATTTTGAACACTTTTTCAACACGTCTAGATATCCGAACTCGTACTTTTGTATAGATCTATTCCTCTGCATCTAGTCCATAGCACTGGAGTGCAACTGAAGGGAATTAATTGGTCCCCAAGACAGTGATCATTTCCCTACTCTCATTACTTCCCTATTTTGTGCCCTACTTCCTCATTAATCCTGGTGGGAATATGAACGTGGAAATTGGATGCTTTATGCACGACGTATCTCTTTCTTGTGCATCCTTCCTGATTTCTTCAGCAAGTAACATGTTACAGCTTTTCACTTCCTCTGTTCTCTCTGCGGCTATGATTGCTATTTCCAGAACCTCGGGTAAACATTTTGAAAAATGTGTCTCCCTATCATCTCCCGACTGCTATAATCCCATTTGTTAGAAATTAGCTGCACTGGACTATCATTTTACCCGTACTATAAACCGTTTTTCAGTTTACAAGTTAGAGTGCACGCACGTCGAGTTACACGGATAGCTAAGAGAGCTTTGTGTGCTTACTCATCCATCGTAAACAATATTTATTTCTACAAGTACATGTACAAGTTATACAGGCCTAGCTGACGTCAATGACATACTACTACATAGAAAGACACTTATTATGCAGAACAATTAGGGCAGATTAGGTCAGTTTTGTCCCAGGATGCAACCCACACGAGATGACTAACACCCAGGTACCCATTTTAACTGATAGGTGAACACGGACAATCAGTGCAATGAAAGACTCCCAAATGTCTTCACCCTTGCCGGGAATCGAACCCGGACGCTCAGCGTGTGAAGCAAGAGCTCTTGCCACCAGGTCACGGGCCACTGTACCGCTGTGTGCGTAGACAAAAAAAAAGTTTCCTGGGTAGGGTCTGGCGAGTAATCACCTGATATTACCCACCTTTCTGAAGACAGCACACAGTGTTAAAGAATCATTGAAAAGCTTAAAATAGTTGAAGAGGGGTAGGTCCCGTGGGCAATTGGCGCCTCTTTCTCGGAGGAACCCGAACCCTTTGAGATCGCCGCTTCAACCTCGCCACCACATTAAGACGACCAAGCGTCAGGAAATGAAAGGAAGGTAGTGGTTGGAAAAATGTGCTTATTAATATGAACTCTCTTATGTGTGGTTGCAGGGGTCGAGTTTCAGCTCAGGGTCCTGGTTCTGCCTCTCCTGTTGGACGCTAATGGATACACACTATTTCATGATCCCTTTCGTAACTTATATTTAAAAGCCCTTATTGGATCCTGTCTCTATTAATTAGCTGGCCAGGTCCTTCCTGTCTGTAATGAGACTATAGAGGTATTCCATAACAGTCCTGTGACTTAAGAACTCTCGGATCCACTGTAGAACCTTTCGGTTATTTCTGACTCCTCCTCCTCTAGCTTCTGTTCCGGTAGAGTACCAAAAGCATTATTTACAGTTCAAAATTATGCAGTCCATCTATCCCTCTTCTGCCTCACCATTATCATCTTGTCACAGAATGCAGCATTTATCTCTTCCTCCTCTAAATCTGTTCTGGGTTGTTTATAAACCTGTTCCTTTCCAGGTATGCCATTACTCTTCTTTTGATAACATTATATAGCTCTACATACCATGCAAGTAAGCGACTCTGTCCTGTAGTTTAATATTTCCTGTCTGTCCCTATATCACTTAACTTGAAGATTGTGGCCAGTTGTTCATACAGTGATTCAGTTTTCTCTGTCAGAACTCTAGGAGATATATATAGTCCCACTGCCACCAAGGTAACTAACTCACTCATTAGTTGCTTCACCTCTTCGTCGATTGTATGGACTGCGTCCGGTATTCGTTGACGAACTCCTCTTTGGTTCTCTGGCATTTCCCTATTTCCTCTGAGAATTCCTCTTTTAATATTTTAATCATCTCACGAACTTCCTAGCTATTCTTTTTTTGAGCTCTCTTTCCTTTTTCAGCTTGAACACCTGGTCATTTTCTGTTATCTTCCTCCTGTGTCTCTGTAGCAATTTTGATTCTGATTTGAATTTCAATGCTATATTCTCAAATTGTCGTTTAGCCTCTCCAGCTCAGATGTTTTCATTTCCGGTTTGTCTGCTTGCTTCCTGGTTTTCTTTGGTTCTTCCCTTTCTATTTTTTCCATGCACTTGCACTTGTAACTTTTGCTTGTCTGCACCTCTGGATGAACCATGGTCTGTTATTGCTACTTATGTTGCTAAGTATTAATTTCTTCTCAGCTTTCCGGCACTTTCCAGCTACATAATAATATAATAATATCTTTATTTACTACAAGTACATATACAAGGTATACAGGCCTAGCTGACATCAATGACATACTACTATACAGAAAGCAGCTTGTTATTACCTGGAGTTTACCTGGAGAGAGTTTCGGGGGTCAACGCCCCCGCGGCCCGGTCTGTGACCAGGCCTCCTGGTGGATCAGAGCCTGATCAACCAGGCTGTTGCTGCTGGCTGCACGCAAACCAACGTACGAGCCACAGCCCGGCTGATCAGGAACTGACTTTAGGTGCTTGTCCAGTGCCAGCTTGAAGACTGCCAGGGGTCTGTTGGTAATCCCCCTTATGTGTGCTGGGAGGCAGTTGAACAGTCTCGGGCCCCTGACACTTATTGTATGGTCTCTTAACGTGCTAGTGACACCCCTGCTTTTCATTGGGGGGATGGCATCGTCTGCCAAGTCTTTTGCTTTCGTAGTGAGTGATTTTCGTGTGCAAGTTCGGTACTAGTCCCTCTAGGATTTTCCAGGTGTATATAATCATGTATCTCTTCCTCCTGCGTTCCAGGGAATACAGGTTTAGAAACCTCAAGCGCTCCCAGTAATTGAGGTGTTTTATCTCCGTTATGCGCGCCGTGAAAGTTCTCTGTACATTTTCTAGGTCGGCAATTTCACCTGCCTTGAAAGGTGCTGTTAGAGTGCAGCAATATTCCAGCCTAGATAGAACAAGTGACCTGAAGAGTGTCATCATGGGCTTGGCCCCCTAGTTTTGAAGGTTCTCATTATCCATCCTGTCATTTTTCTAGCAGATGCGATTGATACAATGTTATGGTCCTTGAAGGTGAGATCCTCCGACATAATCACTCCCAGGTCTTTGACGTTGGTGTTTCGCTCTATTGTTGGACCAGAATTTGTTTTGTACTCTGATGAAGATTTAATTTCCTCATGTTTACCATATCTGAGTAATTGAAATTTCTCATCGTTGAACTTCATATTGTTTTCTGCAGCCCACTGAAAGATTTGGTTGATGTCCGCCTGGAGCCTTGCAGTGTCTGCAATGGAAGACACTGTCATGCAGATTCGGGTGTCATCTGCAAAGGAAGACACGGTGCTGTGGCTGACATCCTTGTCTATGTCGGATATGAGGATGAGGAACAAGATGGGAGCTAGTACTGTGCCTTGTGGAATAGAGCTTTTTACCGTAGCTGCCTCGGACTTTACTCTGTTGACGACTACTCTCTGTGTTCTGTTAGTGAGGAAATTATAGATCCATCGACCGACTTTTCATGTTATTCCTTTAGCGCGCATTTTGTGCGCTATTACGCCATGGTCACACTTGTCGAAGGCTTTTGCAAAGTCTGTATATATTACATCTGCATTCTTTTTGTCTTCTAGTGCATTTAGGACCTTGTCGTAGTGATCCAGTAGTTGAGACAGACAGGAGCGACCTGTTCTAAACCCATGTTGCCCTGGGTTGTGTAACTGATGGGTTTCTAGATGGGTGGTGATCTTGCTTCTTAGGACCCTTTCAAAGATTTTTATGATATGGGATGTTAGTGCTATTGGTCTGTAGTTCTTTGCTGTTGCTTTACTGCCCCCTTTGTGGAGTGGGGCTATGTCTGTTGTTTTTAGTAACTGAGGGACGACCCCCGTGTCCATGCTCCCTCTCCATAGGATGGAAAAGGCTCGTGATAGGGGCTTCTTGCAGTTCTTGATGAACACAGAGTTCCATGAGTCTGGCCCTGGGGCAGAGTGCATGGGCATGTCATTTATCGCCTGTTCGAAGTCATTTGGCGTCAGGATAACATCGGATAGGCTTGTGTTAATCAAATTTTTGGCTCTCTCATAAAAAATTCATTTTGATCTTCGACTCTCAGTCTGGTTAGCGCTTGCTAAAAACTGAGTCATATTGGGACTTGAGTAGCTCACTCATTTCCTTGCTGTCATCTGTGTAGGACCCATCTTGTTTAAGTAGGGGCCCAATACTGGGCGTTGTTCTCGATTTTGATTTGGCATAGGAGAAGAAATACTTTGGGTTTCTTTCGATTTCATTTATAGCTTTTAGTTCTTCCCGCGATTCCTGACTCCTAAAGGATTCTTTTAGCTTAAGTTCGATGCTTGCTATTTCTCTGACCAGTGTCTCCCTGGCATTTCAGATATATTGACCTCTTTTAGCCGCTCTGTTATTCTTTTCCGTCGCCTGTAAAGGGAGCGCCTGTCTCTTTCTATTTTACATCTACTCCTCCTTTTTCTTAGAGGAATAAGCCTTGTGCATACATCGAGTGCCACCGAGTTAATCTGTTCTAGGCATAAGTTTGGGTCTGTGTTGCTTAGTATATCTTCCCAGCTTATATCGGTTAGGACTTGGTTTACTTGGTCCCACTTTATGTTTTTGTTATTGAAGTTGAATTTGGTGAATGCTCCCTCGTGACTAGTCTCATTTTGTCGGTCTGGGGCTCCTCGCATACATGTCTGAACCTCAATTATGTTGTGATCTGAGTATATTGTTTTTGATATGGTGACATTTCTTATCAGATCATCATTGTTAGTGAATATGAGGTCTAGTGTATTCTCCAGTCTAGTAGGCTCTATTATTTGATGGTTTAAATTGAATTTTGTGCAGAGATTTAAAAGCTCGTGTGAGTGTGAGTTTTCATCAGAGCTGCCTCCTGGTGTTATTACTGCAACAATATTATTTGCTATATTCCTCCATTTTAGGTGCCTTAAGTTGAAATCCCCCAGGAGCAAGATGTTGGGTGCAGGAGCTGGAAGATTTTCCAGACAGTGGTCAATTTTTAACAGTTGTTCCTGGAATTGCTGGGATGTTGCATCCGGAGGCTTGTAGACTACCACAATGACTAGGTTTTGGTTCTCGACCTTTACTGCTAAAACTTCCACTACGTCATTTGAGGCATTAAGCAGTTCTGTGCAAACAAGTGACTCTGCAATGTACAGGCCAACCCCCCCCTTTTGCCTGTTCACTCTGTCACATCTGTATAGGTTGTAACCTGGGATCCATATTTCATTGTCCAAGTGATCCTTTATGTGGGTCTCAGTGAAAGCCGCGAACATTGCCTTTGCCTCTGCAAGTAGTCCACGGATGAAAGGTATTTTGTTGTTTGTTGCTGGCTTTAGACCCTGTATATTTGCAAAGAAGAATGTTATCGGACTGGTGGTATTGTTGGTACTGGGGGGGATTTTTTTTCCGGCATTAGTATCTGTATCTGTATCTGTTGGTTGGCCATCGACTGTGGTTCCACTCCAGGAATGACTGGATTTGGTGTACGATTTCTGCCATTTCCTGCCAGTTTTTTTCCTTCCTGGCACTAAAAAACCTCTCCCTCTTGAGTGGCTGTGGCTACCCAGGTTTTCCCATGGCCTGGATGTTTTGTATCTTTTTGTCCCCTTTAGATGGTATGCCTGGCAATTTAAGTTATAGCACAGTCTTTCCTGTACTGAAGAGGTACACATTTCAGGGTGAAAAAGCTTACAGGAAGGGAGTTTGCATTTTCCTGTTGTCATATGGGCATGGCATTTTCTAGGGTGGTCATAGTTGCACGTCCCATCTGTTTTTCCAGATTTCCCATGCCAGCAGATACCAAGTGCATAGTATGTGCACAGGCTTGGTTTCCGCTTGCCTTGGGTTTCTGTGACTGTATTCCCTGTTGGTGCATGTTTCCCTGTCTTACTTCTATCCTCCCTAGCACCAACAATGGAGCTCCCACCAGTTGTTTTTGGTAATTTATCCTCACTATTGCTATTGGAGTCCTCTTGTTTGCTATTTCCTGCGGTATTTCTAGTTTGCAATATTGGTTTTATCTTATCTTTGACTACACTTGTTTCCCTACTATGGCTCCTGTCCCCTATGAGGTCATTTATATGTATTCCTTCCTGCGTATAATTCCCGACTACCTGGACAAAATCTCCAGCTTCACCATTACTGTCTCCCAGGACAGTATCTCCAGCTTCACCATTTCTGTCTCCCAGGACAGCACCTCCAGCTTCACCATTACTGTCTCCCAGGACAGCACCTCCAGCTTTACTATTACTGTCTCCCAGGACATCACCTCCAGCCTTACAGTTTGTGACTACATGGCCAGTATCAAGGGCAGTACCATTCAGCCCAGACTTTTTATGTTCCCATCTGTTGTAGAAAGCTTCCAGGTTTTCTATGAAAGCAGCTTTGAGGTCAGTTTTATCCCAGGATGCGTCCCACACCAGTCGCCTAACACCCAGGTACCCATTTTACTTATGGGTGAACATAGACAACCGGTGTAAGGAAACACGACCGAAGTTTCCACCCCTTCGCCAGGAATCGAACCCGGACCCTCACACGAGAGCTTTTGCCACCAGGCCATGGGGTACCATACTCCATTTCATTCTAGTTCCTTTTCCTACTGCAGTTCATACAAATTTTGCTTCTTGAATGAGTAGTTTCCTTTCTGAAGTCATACTTCTTTTTTAACATCCACAAAGTATTTGAAACTCAAGACTCTGTGGTCACTGGCACCGAGAGACTCCCCATACTGAGTGTGACCTATAACAGAACTACTTAGTGTGAATACATGGGAAGTGGAAAAAGAGTGAGTGAGAAATAGGAACAGTAGTGCTTATATTAGAGTTATAATGGTTTGGCAGGATAAATTTATATTCAGCAATATGAAGAAACGACAAGAAATACAAGAGTGAGCATGACCTGGTCATGGACCGGGCCGCGGGGGAGTTGACCCCCGGAGCATCCCCAGGTAAGGGGCGAAAGGCAAAGCGAAGCCACTGTATGTGTTCTGTTGCTCATGATGAAGAAGACATGTGCAACAGTTGGATATTTTTATTGTTAATTGAAACGTTTCGCCTACACAGTACGCTTCTTCAGTCAAATACAGAGGCTGCAGAAGTAGTCGCAAAGTATGATGTAATCAGTCCAACACTGGAGAAATAGGTTTTGAGGTGGTCAGTCCCTCGGCCTGGCGAAGTGTTCAGCTTCATAGTCTGGAACAATGAAGCTGAAACATGAGAACGGAGTCGTAAATACTGCTGAAGTTAAGTTGTGAAGGTCTGGAGGTTGTAGCAGGAGACGGGAACCGCTAATACAAGAAGAGGGCAAGAATTTGAGGAGCACTTCAGTGGATCTATTGGTTCATACTAAGTAGGTCCCTCTGGGTTCCAATCTTTCTCACTAGTAATGAAGTTGTGGAAAATGTCCTCTGTACCAAGATACTGTTGTGTTGCTGTGTCAGACATGTTAAAAATGGTATATAATCCCTACTAGTTGCAGAGTAAGACACACATACAACACTTGTATCTTAATCTTCAACTTGTTGGTATTATGTACCGTTTTCAACATATTCTGTTGTTCATATTTGTGGAAGAGAGAGACTTTGAAAGAAATTATCTGGGATTACTGTACCTTTTTCTTTCAGGCTGTCGAGCTCTTGCATCTCAGTCATCTTGACAGTAACGTCTGGTGTTAGCGATGTCTGGCGTTAGCGATGTCTGGCGTTAGCGACGTCTAGTGTGAGCGACGTCTAGTGTGAGCGACGTCTGTGAGTTTCTCCTGGCTGGACAAGACAAGGCCAATTAAGTAAATGTTTCTTTCATTGTAACACACACAGTTTTCCCTCAATCACAGATCGCTCACTCCACAGTGGGGTGTGCAGTAAGCGATTATTATACTCCAGTAACATTATGAACAATAAATCTTCAGTTTTTTACTTTAGAAAGGCGATATAGAATAAAATCTTTAATAAGAATTACAGTGGATTAAGTGCACTAACGAGTAAGTGAACCAGTATTTCACAAGTATCGTGGAGGGTTAAGTTGCGCTTAGACAGGTGTGGGACTGATCTAACTCACACACACAGGCAACACAGTTCTTCAGTCCTGGCTACTAAGTGATCCATCAGCACTTTCTGACGGCGCTGAAGCAAAGCAGTCGAGAGAGAGGATGCTACACTAGCTGTGATAGATCACGAATAGCACGTATAAAAACTCCGTGGTTTGCTAACCTGTCAGGTGGACCCCACCCCAGTTCTTGCACACTCACACTCTCCCTCATTCACCCTCCCTCACTTACACTGTCCTTCACTCAGACCGTCCCTCACTCACACCCTCTCTCACACCCTCCCTCACTCACACCCTCACACTCTCACACCCTCACTCACCCTCACACACACATATCTTCCGTCACTCACACCCTCCCTCACTCATACCCTCCGTCACTCACACCCTCCGTCCACTCACCCTCCGTCACTCACAACCCTCCGTCACTCACCCTCCGTCCCTCACACCCTCCGTCACTCACCCTCCGTCACTCACACCCCCCGTTACTCACCCTCCGTCACTCACACCCCTCCGTCACTCACCCTCCATCACTCAAACCCTCCGTCACTCACCCTCCGTCACTCATACCCTCCGTCACTCACCCTCCGTCACTCACACCCTCCGTCACTCACCCTCCGTCACTCACACCCTCCGTCACTCACCCTCCGTCACTCACCCTCCGTCACTCACACCCTCCGTCACTCACCCTCCGTCACTCACACCCTCCGTCACTCACCCTCCGTCACTCACACCCTCCGTCACTCACCCTCCGTCACTCACACCCTCCGTCACTCACCCTCCGTCACTCAAACCCTCCGTCAATCACCCTCCGTCACTCACACCCTCCGTCACTCACCCTCCGTCACTCACACCCTCCGTCACTCACCCTCCGTCACTCGCACCCTCCGTCACTCACCCTCCGTCACTCACACCCTCCGTCACTCACACCCTCCGTCACTCACCCCCTCCGTCACTCACACCCTCCGTCACTCACCCTCCGTCACTCACACCCTCCGTCACTCACCCTCCGTCACTCACACCCTCCGTCACTCACCCCCTCCGTCACTCACACCCTCCGTCACTCACCCTCCGTCACTCACACCCTCCGTCACTCACCCTCCGTCACTCACCCTCCGTCACTCCCACCCTCCGTCACTCACCCTCCTCACTCACACCCATCCGTCACTCACCCTCCGTCACTCACCCTCCGTCACTCACCCTCCGTCACTCACACACCCCCGTTTACTCACCCTCCGTCACTCACACCCTCCGTCACTCACCCTCCGTCACTCAAACCCTCCGTCACTCACCCTCCGTCACTCATACCCTCCGTCACTCACCCTCCGTCACTCACACCCTCCGTCACTCACCCTCCGTCACTCACACCTTCCGTCACTCACCCTCCGTCACTCACACCCTCCGTCACTCACCCTCCGTCACTCACACCCTCCGTCACTCACCCTCCGTCACTCACACCCTCCGTCACTCACCCTCCGTCACTCACACCCTCCGTCACTCACCCTCCGTCACTCACACCCTCCGTCACTCACCCTCCGTCACTCACACCCTCCGTCACTCACCCTCCGTCACTCACACCCTCCGTCACTCACCCTCCGTCACTCCACACCCTCCGTCAATCACCCTCCGTCACTCACACCCTCCGTCACTCACCCTCCGTCACTCACACCCTCCCGTCACTCACCCTCCGTCACTCGCACCCTCCGTCACTCACCCTCCGTCACTCGCACCCTCCGTCACTCGCAACCTCCGTCACTCACACCCTCCGTCACTCACCCTCCGTCACTCACACCCTCCGTCACTCACCCTCCGTCACTCACACCCTCCGTCACTCACCCTCCGTCACTCACCCTCCGTCACTCACCCTCCGTCACTCACATCCTCCGTCACCCTCCGTCACTCACACCGTCACCCTCCGTCACTCACACCCTCCCTTACGCTTTCAAGTGTAAATTGTTAAAAAATAATTTTTGCCAACTCACTATTATTTGCTTCTCTCTCAGAACACTGTTATTAAACGAATAAAAGTTACTTGTTTTCGTGTATCCTAGACGGGATACCTTTAAATAGTTGCCAAAGTTATTTTTCTTCATAATTTTTTTCTTAACTTTCATTATTTCATTCTTGAGAGAACCTCATGTGATCGGCCTCAGTATGGTATGGTAACTAAGACAAAGTTTATACAACCAAGGTTCGAGCTCTATTATCAGAGGTACATAACCCATTCCAAGCTTTCTGGAATAGGTTCGATAACTTTCAAAAGCCTCATCAGTTTGACTCTCAATGTTAAAAAAATGTTCTAATTCGACGACGGAAGAGTGAAAATAATGTGCATATTTGCCAATTTTATGTCTAACCCATTGCTAAACACTGGCCATGTTAAATCACGTTAAAAATGCACGCGTACACCTCTGTTAATTGCCTTCAGTCTTCAATGGCTGATGCATCTTATAGAGGATATTGTCTAACAAGTTTAGTTTTACAGTTTCATTAAATTCACTCTACTGACTTCCGTAATATGAAAGGGAACAACCCCCCCCCCCTTCACCCACCTCAAATTTTATATTTCAAAACTACAAGGAACCGCTAGTCAATTAATCACCGAGTAATTGATCCATAATACCGTACATATGCAGATGATAGCCTTGGTGATGGTGATAATGGTTGTGGTGACGTGTATGGTGGTAGTGATTGTGGTGATTGTAGTGGTAGTGATGTTGTGTGATTGTAGTGACTGTAGTGGCGGTAGTGATGGTTGTTGTGATGGTAGTGATGGTTATGGTGACTGTAGTGGTGGTAGTGATTGTGGTGATTGTAGTGGTAGTGATGGTTTTTGGTGATTGTAGTGACTGTAGTGGCGGTAGGATGGTTTGTTGTGATGGTAGTGATGGTTATGGTGACTGTAGTGGTGGTAGTGATTGTGGTGATTGTAGTGGTAGTGATGATTGTGTGATTGTAGTGGTAGTGATGGTTGTGGTGATTGTGTGGTAGTGATGGTTGTGGTGATTGTAGTGGTTGTAGTTATTGTGGTGACTGTAGTGATAGTGATGAGTGTGGTGATTGTAGTGGTAGTGATGGTTGTGGTGATTGTAGTGACTGTAGTGGCGGTAGTGATGGTTGTTGTGATGGTAGTGATGGTTATAGTGATTGTAGTGGTGGTAGTGATTGTGGTGATTGTAGTGGTAGTGATGGTTGTGGTGATTGTAGTGGCGGTGGTAGTGATGGTTGTGGTGATTGTAGTGGTAGTGATGGTTGTGGTGATTGTAGTGGTAGTGATGAGTGTGGTGATTGTAGTGGTAGTGATGGTTGTGGTGATTGTAGTGGCGGTGGTAGTGATATTAGTGGTGATTGTAGTGGCGGTAGTGATGGTTGTGGTGATTGTAGTGGTGATAGCGATTGTGGTGATTATAGTGGTAGTGATGATTGTGGTGATTTTAGTGCTGGTAGTGACTGTGGTGACTGTAGTGGTGATGGTAGTGATGGTTGTGGTGATTGTAGTGGTGGTGGTAGTGATGGGTGTGGTGATGGTAGTAATGGTTGTGGTGATTGTATTGGTGGTGGTAGTGATGGTTGTGTTGATGGCAGTGATGGTTGTGGTAATGGTAGTGGTGGTAGTGATGGTTGTGGTGATGGTAGTGATGGTTGTGGTGATTGTAGTGGTGTTAGTGATTGTGGTGATTGTAGTAGTAGTGATGGTTATTGTGGTTGTAGTGGTGGTAGTGATGGTTGTGGTGATTGTAGTGGTGGTACTGATTGCGGTGATTGTAATGGCGGTAGTGATGAACACACATGCACAGTTTTGCACCTTACATAAATACACATGCACAAGTGTTCATACATACATACAAACATGCGCACCCGCATGCCTATATTCATACACACACGCATACTTATACTCAAGCACAATACACAAATAACCCGCACATAGGAGAGGGGAGCTTACGACGACGTTTCGGTCCGACTTGGACTGTATACAGTTACATTTACTTTGTAAATGGTCCAAGCCGGACCAAAACGTCGTAGTAAGCTTCTCTCTCTCTCTCCCATGTGCGGGTTATTTGTGTATTGTTCCAGTCACGGTATTGTGCCTTTGTTCTTTACTCACCACAAATAATCACGCACGCATATATATATATATATATATATATATATATATATATATATATATATATATATATATATATATATATATATATATATATATATATAATATATATATTATATATTATATATATGTCGTGCCGAATATGTAAAACTGGTCAATTAGCAAAAACTCATTTAAAATTAAGTCCTTTCTAGAAATTTCTCTTATACGTTTAAAGATACATTTTTTTCATTAACGTTAATGTAAAAATTTATAATTTTGCACTGAAAGGAACTTAGAAAACTTACCTAACCTTATTATAACAAGAGGAATTTATTTTAACCTAACCCAACTAAATATATTTTAGATTTGTTTACAATAATTTAATACTAAACAAACACAATGAAAAATATTTTTTTCGTTAGGTTCAGAATGATTTTGGCGAAATTATTGCATACACAAATTTTCACTTGTCCTATATGGGATTCTCCTCACGCGTGACAGTGTCAGCGTGCCTCGTTGTGCTCCGGGTTTTTCTGATGTTTATCACGTGGCTATTACGTGCTGAACTTGTAATTGTGTCATGCAAACTCCTTTACGATTCATCCTCTCGCTGGAACCAATTCTTGGGCGTAAAGAACATTTTATTACGTAAGTCAAAAAAAAGGAGAATTAGGCAACTACCTAGAGAGTTTATACCAAGGGAATTTATTTAACCTACCTTTGTTCCGATTGTGAAAAAAATAAAAAAAATTGAACTTTGTTGTCAGTAGAACAAGAAAGTTGCTGAAAACTATTGAGTACACAAAGTTATAGTCCTAAGTGGTCTGTATTATGCTACAGGTAAGTGCTTGGACCGTGTTGTACGGTATTTCTGTGTATTCACGGTGGCTCTTAACGTGCTAGAACTTTAATTTGTGTCATCAATCCTATACGATACATCCTCTAGCGCCTGGAACCAATCTTGGGCGGAAAACATTATATACTGAGTCAAAAAAGGAGAATTAGTGTGCACTACCTAGCAGAGTTTACTGCCAGAGGGGAATCATAGGCCTGTGTCCCGTGTGAAAAAAATAATAATAATTGAACTTTGTGTCAGAGAAAAGAAAGTCTCCCTGAAAACATTGAGTATACATAGTGTATAGTGCATACTACAGTGGCTCCCTAGTATATTGATGATAAAGGCTAAAGTGTCAT